GGTAGGAAGCATAACTCTTTAACTTTTTCATTCTGTTTTTTTTTTGGGGGGGAGAGGGATTGAAGGTTATTTTCCAGGAATGTACCAGTCTAATGAGCTGAGAACTTTTCCCTTAAATAATTGCTTTCCTGGATCTGGGAATTTTTTTAAAAACACCATCATCATGCTTTAAATAACTATGTTTGCAAATGAACATAGCAATGGGGGAAAATATCCTTTTCTTAACTGGCTTGGAAGGATACCGGGGAATAATTCTTGCACAACTAACATTTTTCACCTTCATTAAATATGTTTGCTCAGTAAGCCAGCTATTTTATTGTGTGTACTACACTAGTGTATTAGAATCACTCTGATGTCTTTCTTGCCACCTCATGAATTACTTCATGAATTACTTCATGAATTACCCACTTGATCAGTGAGACAGTAATAATGATGAATGCATCTGTTTATTTGTAGAACAAGTATCAACTATTTTTTAATTAGGGAGTGGCACTGTTAATTGATGGGTGCCCTTTATGTTCTTTGTGTTCAATAAAACCTTCCTTACTGTTGCTTATTACTAGTTATAGAGAAAACTGGACCAGTGCAGAGTTTAAGTCTGTCAGATGCTGATGCTGCCTTACTGGCAATTAACATGGCTGTGAATACAGTAGACCGGACTTTATTTTTAATAGTGTTCCATTTGGTCCAGCTCAGGAAGGTCTTACATTTTGCTTAGCATGTAAATTTAAGCTCCCAATTTCTGATAGCTACAGAAATACAAACTAAAACCTAATCTCTGCATTTAATGACCTCAGTGATTATAATATAGTCACACCCATTTAACCTTACTTTCCATCAGCAAAAAAAGGCAGAGCTCTCTTAAGTTGTTCTGTTCCTCATTTTACTAATTACCAATTTACTAGACAGGAATTTTCCTGAATGAATACCTCATCGGTGATGACTGTGGAGATAGTCCTAGATGCAGAGCAGATTTGGGAGCGAGAAACATATCTAAATAAGGAGAACAAACAGGGGGATAAAGGGCATATGGAAGCACTGGAAATGGCTTTACTATTTTAGCATTGTACCAAGTATTGTCCCTTACACTTAAATAGAATTTCATTTATGGTATCAGCTGAATGGCTGTGATTTGACTAGTTTGGCAGCAGATTCTACCTGTGGAGCAATTCCAACCTCTGCTCTGCTCTTTTTTTGAAGTTCAGTGCAGGTATAGGCTGCTTTAGTGTCTTTTTCTAGCTATCAGAAATGCATTCAGAAGTGGAAAAAATGGAGGATTCTCAGTATTTCTTGATAATAGAAGCTTTGCACAAAAATATTCATCTTTCATAGTATTCATAAAGTGAGTGGAGCAAATTTTATCTGTAAGTGCTCATGGGTCTCAAGGACACAAATTCATACAGTCTCTGTTTATCAATACATCTTACAATTCAAGCATTAATATTTTATTATTCTGATCAAACATAGAACTCTAGATAATTATTAGTTTATTTAAGCCAAAGAAACACGTTGAATTAATACCTTCACAATTTTTTTCATTGATTGTTTTCCCTATTAGTGTACTTGTCTTCTGTAAAAACAGAGGAAGGGACAGCGGCGCTTACCATAGAAGTGGCAACACAGAGGGAGGGAAGTCATGCGCTGGAGCCATCCTGGGCTGCCCAACTTCAGCCCGTTTGCTGCCCTGCAAAGCACTAGTTTGTTCTGCCGCTCAGTTTTAAAAGCTTGTGTCAGTCCTCTGGTACTGATACTGAGCCTTCCTTCAGCGCGGGTGTTTGTGTGGCTGGGCACGTGCTGTTGGAAAATGAGCTGGATTAAAACTAGCTCAGGAAAAAAGTAGTGAAAACAGTTAGGTACTGGGACAAGTGGACAGATGGAAGGATTGCTTCAGCCACCATTTGTGTTCATGTACGTGAGCTTCATAGACGAGTGTATATTTTTGATGGCAATATATTCTTGCTGTGCAAATTAACAAAGTAACACATTGGTGGTATGAAGACAATGTATTAAAATACATCACTGGTCTGCTGTGTGATCTTATGCAAGTCATTTAGATATCTCATGTGTGAGCTTCATGCTGGATATTGCTGGAAACCAAATCTTGCATTTGCATTTTTTCCCCCCAGAAAATAAATTTTTGCTTCCATTTCTCCTCCCCAGAAACCCTGAAGTTCTGTAGGACTCCAGATATAGATTTTTGTGCAGTCCGCTAATGTTAGCTCATTTTTACTTTAAAAGCAGTGTAGCCTCAGCTGATACGTTGGGTACAGTTGAGGCTTCGGATTGCCAAATTCCCATTGACAGTCTGGGTGACCTACCTTTGCACATAGGTTGCGACAGTCAATAAAAAAAACAATGAGAGAAAGACCTGGTAGAGGACAGTGAGGTCACTGTTCATATATAGGAAGAGTTGCTCCAAAAACAGAGTGGTATTTGGAGGTGAATAACCTTAGACTATTTCAGGGCTATTGAAAGAGGTCTCTCTCTTCCTCCTTCTTCTTTCTCTCCCAGAGATGGAAGAATATTGCTAAATAAGGAATGTCTGGTCCCATTTACTTCCTAGCTGCCAAATCATGAGTATTTGGAATCAGTTTAAGTGTCCTTTGGTGCATATAGCTTATTGCACAGGCCCATTAATTAATGTATTTTTCCATTGTGTAATTTTATACAATAGTTGTAATACAGGAACAAAGCTGGATCTTCGGAGATTCATTGTTCTGGAACAGTTCTGAAAATTAAGTGCCCAGTATATATAACTATTAACTTAAAAGCTATGTCTTCCTACCTGTGTGCAATGAAAAATAGTCTCTGAACAATGACTATCATTCCAGTATTTGATTCATGTCTGAAAGTAATTTTACAGAATTTTGATTTATCTTTTCTAAAGTACCTCTTGTATGTTTTCTGACTCATTTCTGCTTAACTTATGCAGTAGGGCATTTTGAAATGGAGGTAAGTGAAGCTGACATAACCCACAAAAATAGATGAATGGTGTTAAGCCATTAGATTCAGGCATGTAATCACGAGCTGCGGTATTCCCTCAGTCTTCACATTGTTCTTTCATGTAAACATGCTACCGCATGGTTGGATTCAGCGAACACTTCCCCAGTGCATTTCACTAACCATGAAGACAGTCGATAACTGCATTTGAGCAGACCTATTTTTCCCGGGCTCAGCTTCAGGAGTCTGTTGGAGTTTTTACTTACCATAACCTCTGGACTGCTAGAGGGAGATAGTCCTCTGACCTATAGCTACCTGAAAGTATGCTGCCTCCAGCTGCAGGCATCTGGGAACTTGCAGATCACTTCTAGCTCGACCATTCTCATTCTGTGCTCCCCGAAGCAATTGCTGCAGATGCAGCACTGACAGTATAGTTCTTGAAACAACACGTGCACTGTCTTGTGTCTCTAATTATTCAGGAAAAAAAAATTATCAATCCCTTTAATAGCAAGGTGGAAATTTTGAAACTGTTTATTCCATGCCATAGGACCCATGTTGTCATTCAGCTTTCACTATGCCGAAAACAAAGCCAAAGGCTCCTGTACACGTTTCCACTCTGTTTTATTGTGTTTGAGATGGAAGGGTAATTGTGCTTGGCAAAGGTGAATGGATTACAGCTGCCTTTGACTTCCAGGATTTTTTTTAGTGCCATCCTGGTGGCTAAACATCTGCAGAACACTGTGACACAATGGGGAAAATGGGATTTGATTTCTTTGAAATTAGACAAAAATGGTGATTCTTTCCCTTTGAGGACAATTGCCAGAAAACCAAATGAATTCTATTTTATTTTTAAGACTTGGAAGGTTTTGACTCTGTAATACCAGTTGCTGAGAAGCTTAATCATCCAACTACAACCAGACCAAAAGCTACTGGCAGGCGACCACCCTCCCAGTCTCTCACATCTGTAAGTTAATTTTCCTTTTCTTTTAAAAATATTTTTTTCTGATTCCACCCCCTCCTCGTATTTGTGTTCCCTGATGTTTTTAGTACATTTACACAGCCGTTGCTTTACACATACAGAGGCAGAGAGATGCAGCTCAGAAAAATTAGTGTCAAAAGGCTGCCAGTGTTTTGAATACTGATGTTTAAAACATTCTCTCCCTTATAAGATATGTACCCCCTTATTTGAGTACTGCCAAGAATTCCTTGCCTGTCATGACTGAGGCCAGAAAAAAAAACGTTATAAAAATCTTTGGAAATAACTAGTTTGTGCTAAATATTAAGGATTTTGAAAGTATTTCCCACTAGTGTGTTCCTAATAGAACACAAAAAAGCAAGCTTTCAAAATTGACTACGTACATAAATATAGAAACATAAAAGACAAGTAAAAAGGTTTTTCTCCCCCTGCTAAATCTATGGGGAAGGAACAAGGGGTGGAAAGAACCTGTTTGCAGCTTTACAAAGAGGCGATGCCCACAGCAGCCCGGCAGTGCCCGCCGCGAGCACAAACAGCAGCACAGGTGCTCTGAAGAGCGGCCAAGTGAGAGCTGCACTGGGCAAAGCCCTGGCAGGGCTGACAGCCCCCCAGCACGGGGCTCAGTGTCCTAGCTGAGTAAGGTAGAGCTCTGCTTGCGGACAGGAGGGTGCTTTCATCTTATGATACACTGGAATGCAGTGCAAAGACGTAAATTAATGTTGAATTCAACTCTTAACTATATCTTATTTCATGAATGCTTTGAAAGCATTCTAGCCTTGAAAGTAAGATGTATAAAAAGGGGAGTCAGGGGAGGGAGAGTCCTGGTTTTAAGTATTGTTACTTTGAAAATGATAACTAAAAAAAAAGAAGTTATCACATAAATGCTTTTCTTCTTCTTTTGTTAAATTCTTGTACAACGAAAATACCTGCTTTTTTTGTTGTTTCCTTTCTTGTGGTGTGTGTGTTTGTGTACATAGTCATCCCTTTCAAGCCCCGATTTCTTTGACTCACCAAGTCCTGAAGACGAGAAGGAGGAGCATGTTTCTATTACTCACAAAACTATTGAAGTGTCAAAGAAATCAAGAACTGTTACAATATCACAAGTAAGTTAATTGGAATGCCTCTGCTTAACCTTATGACATGCATCTTCATTTTTTAAAATAGTGTTTAAATATTTATTCTTAAAATTTAAATTGACCATCACCTGGTAACTAGTACTTTAAAGAAGCTTAAAATGGTAAAGGTTACTAAAGATTGTTCTGTGTTTGAAATGCTAAGGTGAATTGCACAGTTAAAATGTCTCCATAACCATACTGCGAAAAAAAATCCTTCTACTGTTGTAAATACATTTCACAGAATTGGAGAACGTAGGGAAGTAAATTTGAGAAACAAAGGCCCTTTTTTTTGCAACTGTTAATTGAGTTTACATTACAAGAGTCTGTAAACAGAGAAAATACAACTCTTTGACCCACTCTAGTAGTATGTGAATTTAAATTTGCAACTATAATCACTTTTTATACTGGTATAATTGATTCATTTTATAGCCTTGTGCCATTCTTATTGTATCTTGGTAGAAAACTATAGGATAATGAA